AGTTGAAAGGCCGTTCGGACGAGGCGATTTTTGCTTTCAACTAAAAGTTGCCTGAAAAATCGCATCGTGCGAAAGCCCTAATAGAACCCGCTCAAAAAATCTACTTTTTTCATTCTCTTGTTCTTACGTGATCTTGTGTCTTTCGTTCATGCAAAGGAGATCTGCACACTTGTCGTTATCGGCTAGTTATCGGCAAATCGTAGAAGACGCAGAAACGGATAAGTACGGCCGCGTCGTTTGCTAATCGTTGTGCATGCATTGTTTGTTTACATTTTATGGGGAAAAATTTGTGAAAAGGTTAATATTTGCATTTAAATTGCATAAAATCTGTAGAAATTATTAAAAAGTGGATAATTGCATTAAGATTCAATAAATGTGAGCGTTTTAACTATAAAATATGACGAAATTGTAAAAAGTCTATGTGTGCATGCACAAAACTCATTTCAGGAAAAGAAAAGAAGAGATATTACTGAAAAACGATATCTAGAATTGTTGCAGCACAGTCTATATTTTAAAAGTTGCAGGTTTTTGTAAATATTTCGCGAAAATGTCAACCAGAAAAACAGAAAATACCTGCTCCAAATGAATTTTTAGACGCCAAATGAATTGAAATATCACGACCGAGTGTGCGAAAGTGTAGTCGTCATGTAATCGTTGCATCATGATTGTGACGATGAAGCAACTATGATTGGACGACCAATGTGCAGAAAGCCTTAGTGGGTATTAAAAACGCGAAAATTTTTGAGTTTTGTGCTTGGTGCGTTTTTGGTGCTTTTGTTTTTAGTTTGAAGACATCAAATTAGAAAATCTTAAAAAATGGAAGCAAAATTTATAGCAAACGTAAGTGTGGTAAGCAATTTTACAAAAATTTAAACAAAATCATGGCACAGTGACAATCATAAGCGACAACGAAATATGTGCAGCACCTTCAATCATGGCAGAAGAAATCGACCGTTGTGCAAGGAACATTGATTTTTATTAATTTGAATCGGCATCCTTACAATAAAATTATGTATTCATATAAAGTCCAAAAAATACACCAATAAAAATTTGGTGCTTTTTCAAATTTAAAACTTGGCAATACTGCGTTTGTTCGATGCTTCCTCTTTTTCTTGTCGAGTTCGTCTTGCTCTCTCATTCTGGTATACTTTGACGTCACGGCCAGTTGCTCTCAGCTCGATTGGCGCAATCTTGTATTCTATCATTCTTGGCTCTTATGTGATTTTGTCGTGATAGCGTAAAGATTAATAGCAAAGACGCGGCTGATGCAATTGAAATGCTTATGTCTTAGGTTTTTTACATGATACAAAAAAGAAGGTAGTTCCATTGTCGTCGCCATATTAACAACCTGACAATTAAGTAGATTGTGACATTTCGTGCTACCGTATCCAATATCTAAAATTGTCCAAATTTTGTTATTAATTTTTTGTTTATTTACAAACATTTTGTTCTTAGAATCGAAATGTGAACAAGCAAAAGGTATTTTGTTGGGTACGGCTCGGTTATTTGTACAATAATTTTGGGTTATCGTGT